ACATCGGACAGCTGGGAACGAATGGCCCCAGCCCTACTTGGCCCACAGAGCTTGGGAGGGATAGATGTCGGCAGAGATCAGACCCAGAAAAACTGCCCCCACCAACCAGGACACGAGGAACTTGTGACGTTTTTATTAAATCCACAGAAGTAAAAACCATATTGTGAGGGGCCGGGGAATGGGGCTACCGAGGAATGGGAGCCAGACCACCAGAGGGGAAGGGCAGGGCTGACAGGACACACCCAGGCTGAGCTGGCTCAGGGGCCATCACCAGGGCCAGCCCCCGCCCCTGCCCTCGCACAGACTCACCTCTGTCAGCTTGTTGAACTGCTTGAACATTCGGCCCACGTCCTGGGCAAACTCTTGAGGGGAGCTGTAGGGGGGCGACAGCTTCTCCTGGAGGCGGGCGCGGGGGCTCCACCAGCACAGCAGAGAACTTGGTGTCGCCAAAGGCCTCATTCATCCGAGTCTCAAAGAAGCGCTGCAGCCCGATGATGGACTGCACGTCCGCCTTGTCCTGGGCAAGAGTTGGGCGGCGGTGGGTTCCCACTCGCCCCAGCCCAGCCCACCAGCCCCACCCAGCCCCCGCCCCTGCCCTCGCACAGACTCACCTCTGTCAGCTTGTTGAACTGCTTGAACATTCGGCCCACGTCCTGGGCAAACTCTTGAGGGGAGCTGTAGGGGGGCGACAGCTTCTCCTGGAGGCGGGCGCGGATCAGGGTCAGGTCCAATGTGCCACCAGGCTGATCCTAAAGGCAGAGGCCACAGGCTGAGGGTGAGGCCAGGCAGCCCGTGCCCCCCACCCCCCACCCCAGGGCCCAGGACTCACCACAGAAAAGCTGGAGTCGGTAGCCAGCTGGTGCAGGGGCCGGCAGGGCTCGTGGCAGAAAAGGGCCAGCAGGACACGCTCACACTTCTGTGGACAGTCGGGCAGGACTCATCAGAGCACAGTTGCAAACGGGAGCGGAGCATGCAGCTGCTGAGCAGCCAAGGGAAGGCCCCCTCACCTGCTGGTTGGCTGGCGAGAGCTTGGCCACCACACCACTGCTGTCCCCGCCGTCCAGGCTCAGGCTGCCGTCCTCCTCCTTCAGGTCAGGCAGCACATGGCAGAGCGAGCAGCTCCACTCCTCCCCGGGCACATCCTGCAGGGCCGGCAGGTGGCAGTCCAGGTGGAAGCAGAACTCGCACTGGTTGCACATGACCAGGTCGCCTGGCTTCTGACAGACGCGGCAGATGGTGGCACTGTCATCCAGGGCACCAGGGCCGCCAGCTGGGGCTGAGGTGCCCTCTGGAGCCACCACCTCCAGGCCAGAGCTGGTGCTGCCACTGGGGGAGACCAGGCGGGGACCCTCCGCCCCAGGGCCCTCCGCCAGAGCCATCAGCACAGGCTTTGTCTCTGGGCCCTCGGTGGCAGGCGGGGCACCGATGGCAGCCTCTGTCTCTTCCTCCTGGAAGGAGATGCTGGGGTTGGGTGTCAGCAGGGTGCAGGCCTCCGCAGAGGTCCTTTACCAGCCATGGTCAACTGGGGACAGGCTCACCTTGACAATGGCCATGCCAGGCAGGGGCTGGGCACCAGGGGTGCCAGGCGCAGCCCCCGGCTGCCCAGCAGCAGCAGCTGCAGCCCCGCGCTCAATGACGATCAGGTTGTAGTCCTCGGTGGTGCTGCCTGGGAAGACCTTGAAGACTGGCGGCTGGCTGTCAGCTGTGAGGTCAAGATCCAGGCGCTCGAGGCTCACCCGGGGCACCTTGCGCATGAGGCCGCTCACTTCACCCTCACCTGAGCGGGACCTGTGGGATGCAGCTTGGTGTGAACACCCCTACCTATCCCTATGCCCACCGGCTCCAAAGGACAGCCACACTCACCGTTTCATGCCTGACACATGGGGCTCTGCACTCATGTAAGAGTCGTCTGCTCAGAAGACAGAGGGGGGGGACGGTGGGTGGAGCTGGTGCACTGGAGCTCTCCCACCTCCCCACAGACCAGACCCCGACCCACTCACCTGACGCGAAGCCATAGCCTTCCTGCACGTCCATGGGCTGCAGACAAAGCAGATGGACTTCAGTGGGCAGGTGTCCCAGAGGACCACACGCCTCCCTCCTCCCCAGGGCCCCTGGCCCTGCTCACCTGGCTGCCGCCAGAGCCCTGCTTGCTGCTCAAGGGTCCCGGAGCCCGGGGAGGGGCCATGGGCGCAGGGCCCGTGGAGTTGGTGCCAGGACGCTCCGCCACGATCTTGCCTGCAGTAAGGAGACACACATGAGGCACAGTTCCTGGAGAGACAGTCAGGGCAGCAAGAGGACGACAAGGACCCACCAAAGGCCTCGGCGCTCTTGGTCCAGGCGTTGAGGTCCCACTGGAACTTCATCTCGCCATGGGGCTCCACGGGGTCCACGATCATCTTGAGAGCCCGGTGCAGCTGGAAGTAGATCTGAGGGTGGAGGGTGGGGGGCGTGTGAGCTCCCGGCAGGAGGTTCCCCGAGCCCCCCACGGGCACCCAGCACACACCAGCTTCTTGGAGAGCAGCAGGGCCGTGTTGTTGTCGCTCTCCAGAGCCCAGGAGGCGAAGCGCAGGATGTGCTCCTGGTGCTTCTGGATCTTGGTCATGGTCCAGTGCTGCCGCTCCAGGCGCTCCTGCTGCCCCTCCGTTACCTTCTGCGCCCGGGGGAGGGGATGTCAGGAAGGAAGAGGATGGCCATGCAAGGATGGCGCCAGCAGAGGGTGTCTGTCCCCGGGGACCCCGCCCCGTAGGCATACCTGGGCATCATTGACCAGCACGCGGCCCCGCTTGTTCAGCTCCTTCATGATCTGCAGAATAGCCATCTTCACGTCCACCTGGACGCGCTTCTGCACGTCGGACACTTGGCGAATGCTGGGGGAGGGAGGGCCAGGTTAGGTCTGGTCAGGCAGACGGCAGCAGCTCAGGGGGACGCCCACATGGCCCTGGCATTCACTTACGAGCTGCGAACCTCCTTGGTGTTCTTCTGCAGGGTGGCGTGCTTGTCCCCGAGGCGCTTCACCAGCGAGGCCAGGAGCTTGCGCTGGTTCCTCACGGCGTCCTCCAGGAACTGGTACCTGAGGGCAGAGAGAGGTGAGCCTGGGCGCTGAGCACGGAACAGGCAGGGCCCCCACCCCCTCGGGACTCACTGGTGGTCCTTGTGGGCGTTGAGCTGGCAGTCCCGGCAGGTGAGGGTGTCGCAGCTCTCGCAGAACAGCACGAGTGGCTCGTGCTTGTGCACGTTGCAGTACACTGTGCGCTCCCCATCTCGGGACTTGGCTGGCCCTGGGGAACAGGTGCCGCAAAGACAGCACATCCTCAGCACCTCCAGCTCCGGGGACCTCACTCCCGTCTATTGCGAAGCCCAGAGGGCCCTGCAAGGGTGGCCAGGAAAGGGCACAGGCCCCCGAGGCCAAATCCTTGCTCCCAAAACCCTCTGCCCAAGCCCAGCTGAGACCCCACACACAGGTCAGTCCCACTTCCAGCTCCTCCAGGAGATGCAGTGTGAGGATGACAGACACGGAGAGCTTCTATGCCTCCAACAGCCCCCCTCCTCCTCCATTCAGCTGGCTGTCCAGCAAGCGGGGGGATTCCGGAGGCTCTGGCAGCCCAGCACAAAGAATATTTGCTTTCTGGCACACACAAGCATCAAACCAGGGCCTAGAGACCACTGCTGGGGGTGGTGCCCTCCCCGCTCCAGGCCCACAGGGGCCATGTGAGCCTGAGGCTAGAAGGTGAGAGGTCAGCCCCGGTTGCTAGGACAGGTGCAGGCCACTCCTGTGAGGGAGGGTGCAGAGCTCAATTAAACCACCCAATGGGGACGCCTTCCTGTCCCACCTCAGCGCCTGTCACCATGAGAAAGGTGTTTGGGAATCCGTTCCTTTCCTCCCCAAATCCACAAACATCCCAACTATACCAACCCTCCCGGACAGACCAGCCAGGCTGGGTTCCTCCAACACTGCCTCCTCCTGCACCCTGACCTCTGCCTGAACCCTCCCCACCAGCAGCATCCTGGGCCGGAGCAGCCCAGGCAACTACCAAAGGGCCACTAGTGGGAGTTACAGATCAAAACCCAAGGGAGACTCAGAAGGCATCCAGCCTGTCTTCAGGCCACTGACAGCAGCCACAGGAGGTGCGGAAGCCCCGATGACCTTGGAGATAAACCCTCCAGGACTCCCTGCAGGTTCCGGCCTGAGGTCTCTCCCAGCTCACCAGGCAGATACCACAGGCCTCTCGCTCAGAGTCCTGAGCCAGGTGCCAGGCGCCAGGCAACCCCAGGTCCAGGAGGCCCCTCGCTTTCCAGGTCCTCACACTCCAGTGTCTGCACCTGCCAGTCCCTCCACCAGCGGCTCTTCCCCTCCCTGGGGCTTCCCTGACCCACCGAGGTCCCTGCCCACTCCCCCACCCCCCATGGCCGCTCCCCTCCCACCTGGACCAGGAGAGCCAGCGTCCCAGAGCCCCAGCGCCCCACTCCTGCCCTGGCCTTTGCAGTCCTGACCCCAGAGAAGCCCCAGGGCCCACCACCCGCAGCCACGTCATGAGCGGCGACAGCAGGCCCAGGGGGGCCTCCCCCGCGGGCGGCGTACCGGTGGAGCGCACTGTGTGGTCCTTCGTGTACTTCACCCGCTGGTGCGCCTCCACGCAGGTCTCACACAGGGGCTCGGAGCACTCCACGCAGTAGCTGGTGGCCGGGGCGTTGTCCTCGCAGCTGGTGCAGCACTGGGGGCGAAGGCAGAGTCAGA